GAAATAATATCCAAAAGCTCGTTTTTTCGGTAAATCCTGTTTAGTTACATCTTATTTTAAAGGGTTTGATGTAAACGTCGAACAAACAGACAATTAGTACACTGATCAATGAAAACACCGAAAACTACCAAAATGAAGAGAGAATATATTAAATGATATTCATTAACTACGTATCTAACCATTACCACATACACAAAATATTTTGACAAAAGGCAAGTTCTTTTTGTATAAAGAAAGTGGTTGATTAAGTTTTATACTTAACAAACTATTTTAATTTATGGTTCTAATTTATAGCTATTTGTGACGTCTCCAATAGCTGGGAATTATCAAGAAAATTTATTTTTCTTAACAAACGCTTGGTTTTTCTTATAGTTCTTCTAAGTACTTAATATGCCTAATGTTGCTCATTATTCTTTATAACTTTCGTAAATGCGTTCCCGCTGGTATGGGAGAAATAATCAAACATTTAAAAATTTATGAAATTCGCTTGCAGCACTCGCAGAACGGAATTAATCCATCTCTCGGAAAATACCTCCTTCATCTATTTTGTTCAAAAAGTTTAGCTCCCATTGCAGTTAGCACGATTGTGGTCGGAAATGTTATAATAATTTCGCCTGCCAGTAAATCACTTAATTTACTCAATTTAAAGCATTTAGATTGCATTTATTACCTTTTAGTACTGCAGCCACCAAAATTAAGTTGAGCAAAGAGCTAGGGAAAACTTGAATTTGTTTATGTCTGGCTGTTGACAACTACTAAGCCAGAAATAGCTATTCCGGTCGCCTACGTATTTCCGACTATCTTATTCTGCCTAAGATTCCGGCTGCTTTGCGGCTGCTGGCGGAGCTTGCGAAGAGTGACTACGTTCTGCACACCCCACAATAACTATCAATATTTCCGATCGAAAATGTCAGGATAGCGAGCCTGTAGCCCAATGAATAATGCGTTGCATTCCTAACTTATACGTTGCGGGTTCGAGCCTCGGGGACGAAGTTGTGTATGGCTAGTCCGAGGAGGTATATAAGCTAGTACAGCATATTCCAGTCTCTCTGCCCTTTTTCAGTAATAATTTTCTGCATATTATTTGATCCTACATCGGCGGAAATCAAACGTTTAGCAGTGAGAATCAGACGAGAATGTTGCTGTAAATATCATTTTTTAAAATAAATGTCAACTTGCAAGAAATGCTAGAACCACAGAACATACGAATGCTCAGTAGAAAGGAAAATAAGCATCGATGGGATGAGAGTGATCTAATGCGTTTTTTGTTAGTTTGAAACTAATGACCAACGGTTGACGGTAATTTTCGACTTCTCTACTGATGACGGAGTGGCAGTTCTGTGTACATTTATTTTGTGCACGCTTTTAGACAGGTAAGTGCACATATCTGTCTAATTACTAAAAGGCAAACGATAACACATCAATAGTTTGGCAAAGTCCTACAGCGGCAGAAGCCATTCGGTCAACTCAGAAGACTAAAAGTAAAAATAAAATGACAACAACTGTATTGTAACGTATACATTTGCTTAGTACACATCCCCAAAAATTTTAGCATTTTAATATCAAAGTAGGTTCTGGACGTTCCCGCTCGAGAGAGAAGTAAGTATCCACAGTTATTAAAGTAAAAACAGGAATACAAGAAAATTTACCTTCTTAGACAATCTTTCAGAAGGGTATCACAATGGGAAGAAAAACTATTTTGAATGTGAATTTCTCTTAATCTCAGCCCCTTTAACCTACTTTCCTGGGAAATTTGTGGAGATTTTCTTTTTCGTTCCTTGCTTATTGCTTTATTATTTTTAAGACATTTCTTTTAATTATATACTGGTATGTGTGAAGAGAAGCAATACAGTCAGAAAATGTTCAACAAATTAATTCAGAGGACTGTATTTTTAAGAAGGCGCTAAATGGACTTCTGAATGGGATAAAATATCTGGCGTTTGTGGCTTTTAAAGGAAGAGTTGACTAAGTATTTCAACAATTAAGAAGCAGCTACAAACCAGGACTATATGTGTTTATTTTATCTTTACTATGCAAATTTTGCGAAAAAAACCTGCGTACTTTCATGAAAAAAGATTTCATAATCTTCTAGTGTTTAGCCGACTATATGCATATTTTAATATAAGCATTCTGCATGCTAAATATCATGTTTCATTTCTGAATATTCTCTAAGTACTAATTCTGGTTATAGAGCGCATCCGAGAACAGAAAAGCCATAGAAAAATGCAGTTGTTCCTTTTCATTTTCTTTTAAGCACGCATTTTATAAAAAAGTACACTTTGCGATCATTAACCAACGGTACTCAAAAAAGTAAAGTCACGACGCCATTCGTCCAAAAAATGCTGTTTATATTCTATTCTGGTTTTTCTTTTTCTGTACACTTACTTAAAAAATGTACACAAAATTTGGGGAATTAAATAAGTCACAGGAAATATCACACGAAACATCATCTTCTTTTCGTTTGTGCGCACTTTAAGAATTAATACTGTTGCGTGAGTCGCGATACACACCTCATGGAGGAATACCTGATTGGTCGAGGTGGTTGAAAAAATTAGTATAAATAATACTGAATTCACAGTTGTTAGACAAGTACTTGTCGAGCTCCTGCTTCAACTGTATGCAAACTAGTTCTCTTTTCGTTTCGGAACGCATAGTTGAAATATTTCTAGTATAACGACGAACTTATAATGAATTATAAGATTTTTAATTGCAACTTTATAGGGACTTGAATAGATAAACATACAAATAGCATAAAGTATCATAAGATTTGTTGGAAGATTATTGTTCGATAGAAGTTGCCTAATTCAATTAAAAATTTAAAAAACTGGTTTGGATTAAAAGTCGCAATCGACAGCTGTTTCACATTTTATTCATCGTAACATTTTAGTTACGGTTCATCCCAAATCAGAATGCGGACTTTGTGGTTTCTGCCTCATATGGTAATTCTTTTGACCATGCTGGTGGTAGTAAATTGCGCTTCGGTCAACCGAAAACCCTCATGGATGGACGAACTGCTTTTTAATGAACTTTCGGATGAGGATACAGAAATGCGAGCTTGGAAGCGAGCAGGTGAAGAGGGTCTGCAAGCTCCAGTAAAATCACCGGCTTTTAGCGATCCTGAAGCCCTCCGAAACTACATCAGAAAAGTCAATGAGTATTTTGCGCTTATTGGGCGACCTAGGTAGGAATACCTTTATCATCACTCTGCTTATTGACTTTAACCTATTAATAATTGTCCATTGCATGCATACTTAGTATCGTCATTAAGCTCTACCAGAATACCAAACTGTTTAAGTTGTTTTTTTCCTGAAAAATAAAGCGCAAATTGAATGAAAGTTCTCTAAGCCCATAATTACCTTACAGTTTCCTCCGACTACGTATGGTGTTAGGAAAAATGATAGCTTTGAGAGAATATATCTGCTTATGGTGCTGTAGAATTCCGTTATGCCGGAAGGCAAATATGTGTCTTATAACTTGTGAGAAATATTGACCACCAGAATCAAACATTCTAATAATCGAACACAGGATATCTACTTGT